TTTGTGAATGGGGAGATTGTGCAGAGATCTCCGGAGAGGCAGAGGAGGGTGGAGCCCGTGTCGCAGAGAGCGTCAGACAGGCCGAGGTACAACGACAGGACCCGCTACGCGCGGCGGAGGGATAACCAGCAGCAGCAGCGATGATGCATCACACGACCGACGCTGAGGCAAGATCTGGAGACAACCTGCTGTGCTGTTTTCATCCCCTCGACATAGAAAGTAGTTGTTTTCGCTTGGTTTTAGTAATCCTTTTCATGTTGCTACTCTGTCATCTGTATGTATTTGACTACTTGAAACTCAGAATCTCCATAGCATAGAAGAATTTTAGGGTCGTGATTTTTGATACTTATGCTAGCGTGCCCGGAAACTTGGACGGGGTAGATGATTCAAGCAGAGATTTTGAATTAGGGTTCAGGTGTGGGAGGCCTATCTCTGCATGAATATATTGCTCAAAACGTGTATATGTTGTACATGTTACAGGAAGGGGGAAAATTCTACGGAGAAGGTACGAGCAAAATATACCAAACGTTGCTGAGGCAAAAAATATATATATATACAATAGATTTGCTTGGTTTGCTGGCTTGGTAGTGTTTTGCTGGTTTTATTTGTTACTCCCTCCGGTTCCAATTACTTTGTCTATGCAGGTTGCAGCTTAAATGAAATACAACAGGAGCGATGGTTAAATTCAACTGTGGACAAACCTAATAGTTTTTGCTAGAAAGCTGAATTAATTTCAGAGAAACACCATCCAGCATATACATGGATCAAATCTGCGTGCAGGAGCAAATAAAACAGAGTAATTTATTGTACCTGTCTCACACGGTGCATACATAGATAGAATCAGGCTGCATACAGTCTACAACCAGCTAGTGAATGAGTGTATAAAAAGAGTCCAGACTTATTAACAGGAAATTAGCCACCCGCAGAGGTAGATGGCAGTGACGCAATCTCAAAGGTAGATGGGCAGCTCATGATTGACGCGATAGTACACCTGTCAAGCTTCTTGAATCAGCAGGTAGGTTGCACCTCGTCATACAATTCTTTTGCTTCTTTCACAGGGGATGACAGAGTACACCCGCCAAGCTTCGACCTCCGTGTACTTTCGAACCTACTGCGGGAGCGGATAACGAAGGAGTAGTCGAGACCCGGCATCTTCTATCAAGCTCTTGAGGTCGTCCTCTTGTTTGAGAACCCCGCCGCCATTGATTATTGCCATTGATATTGGCCATCCTAGCGATCCTTGAGCAGTAACAAGTTGTCGACCGTGTAGGCGGAGCAGTCACCTTGTTTCGCTACCAGCTCCTTGAGCTTATTTACAAAGTTAGATGAATCATACCGAGGAGCCAAACCATTGATGAATATAGTGCTGTAGACCGTCCCAAAAAGGGATAGCAGCGATGATAGCAAATTCGCTGACATAACTGATATATCAATTGCCTGTGGTTCTTGTTCCTTCATGTCGTGTTCACTCATCTCGAAGGCATGCATCGTTTCCATGACCACCCCCTTAAACTCCTTCGGGAGGTGATACATCCAGTGCGTCTCGCTGTCCACATCCTTCACTATTATCTTAACTGCCGCTTGGCGATTCTCTGGCGGTTCAGTTAATACGTACAACTTGGCATTGATGAGCACCGGTGGCGGGAATTTACAGTTGTATCTCACACGGAATGGGAGTAGGAACGACTTCCGGCGCTACCCATCGTGACCTACTAAAGTGTACACGTCCAGGTAGTGGCCAGCTTCCTCCCGGTGGTAGAAGGGGAAGCGAAACAGCTTGTACTTGTGGGCGGCAGACGCGCTGAACCACATGGCATACATGCGCAAGTCGGTATCCTTGATGACAATGTTCCGTGTCGGGTTCCTTGTCGTAGCCCCTAGCACAACACATGTTGCGAAGCACCAATGTATAATACACATCATGTGCCAAATCTCTGAGCTAGCCAGTTCCGATCCTCGGAAGAGTGTCATCTCGTTTTTTTGTCTAAAGGACTAATTTATCAGTGATGCACTAATGGGAAGGGATTGCGGATGGTGCCAAGACACATGGAAAATGTGTGGGTGAGCTAGGGTGGCAAGCCAGTGCCAGAGCCATGAATATTTTTTAGGTGTAGCAGAGTACATGAAGGGAAAAAATAATGTAGAATATAACTATGTATCTTTCCTGCTTGCGGCCTCTCTAGACGGTGGTCGCTGGCACGCTCACCACGCTGACTAAAGATCGCAAGGTTGCTCTGTAGTCGCTGCCTCTGTTGTACGGCTTAGAGGATAGCTGACTAGGGTCGGCGCCGGGGTAGATATCACAGCAAGCCGTACATTGTCGCGACTCACGAGTTTGGAGGAGTAGCCATTGTTCCTAGTTCTATATAGTAGTAATACCTTAGGTGACTGAGTCGGATAAAATCTAGTTTCTTCGCCAGAGAGATGGAAAGCTGCGAGGCCATCCCTAATCAGCCGCGCTCCAAGGAAACAGATCGTGTGTCTCCAACCAACTAGTACATGCGAATTGATTCGCAATTGTGTGTCAATGATGCCCTTGTTGAACATGGGCTTGTGGGTCATGTGCTTATGCGATGCAAGTCATCTATTGCATAATTCTCTCCTTCAGCAGCAGTTAGGAGGCAGAAAATATGTACGTAACAATACAACTATCTGGCGAAATACATTGGAGGTCATGAGTCGCCTGCCCCCCCTGCAAGTCTTCCTCCTCCAAATTGATGAAACTAACCAAAACTACATCGACTCAGCACAAAGCTTCATACATACAACATATATATACAATATTTTGGCCAAATTTTAGGTATGGCGGCTGCCAAACCTCACCATATAGCTGGATCCGCCACTGCGGCAAGCAGACTATGACGGGCTGACAAGATGAAACTCTTATACATATAACAGGCAAGTAGGAAACTACTAAAGTATATCTTAATTCCAAGGCAATGAGACCAATACATAAATTATTGGTATAGAAACTCGTAGGCGAGGGTATAACATTTGTCCATAAAACGATAAATAATTATGACACTAGAAGATATTTTATTACTTAAGATAATAAATGTTCTATCTTAGAAATCTGGCATTGTCACAATGCCTTATGCTCTAAGATTTATCCTATATTTATCTTGTTGATTGATTACTGTTTTGGTTCGCAAATCCTTTTGGCACACACGCTGGTCATCTGTGCAATCGCCAGGCCAACATTTGTAGGAAATGATTTCTTGGAGTTGAATGATTTCTTGCATCGCAGAGCTTGTAGCAAGGCCTTTTCAAAGAGTTCTTGTTTATCAGTGTGATGCAATGATATCATGGGGGAGGCGAATGCGAGACGGGGCGAGACGAGGCTGGGAGAGTAACCACTATAGACGTTCCATCGTTGCTTCTACTGCGGTGGAACATCTGGCAGCTGTATATCGTGGTCCCATTGCATGGAACCATCAAGCTCCTCCTTGTTGTTGGTGGTGCCGTATTGGTAGAGATGGTCATGTAGCCTGTAACACAACATCCTGTCACCCTCGTCAAACCAGGTGCCCCTTGATTTCTCGTCCCTGCCATCATCATTGACTTTGATGTCGAAGGTGTAGCGCAGTTCCCAGTTGCCAAACAGGCTCATTCCATGCAACGGTGGCATGACCCAGAATCGTAGCCACTGCTAGCCGGCAAGTCATATAGCGATGTATAACTGCCCGCTCAGGTTGAAGGTGTGCATCTCCGCAATGGCAGCCCCGGTGAACTCCTTCGGGAGGTGATATATGCAGTGTGTCTCACTGGCCACATCGATTACTATTATCTTCTCTGACGCCTGGCGATACTCTGGCGGCTCAGCTAATACGTATAACTTGCCATTGATGAGCACCGCTGGCGGGAATTCACAGTTGTATCTCGCCCGGCATGGCAGTAGGTTTGGGTTCCGGCGCCACTAGGGCTGGACGTACGAGCGAGCATTTTAGTTCGGCTCGAAGCTCGTTCTAGCTCGGCCCGACAACTAAAAAGGACGAGCCGAGCTGGAAATATAGGCCCGTTTAAGATTCCGCAGCCCAGCGCTACACGAGCAGGCCAAGCCCAATACAAAGCAAACCCCTTTTCTCTGACCTACACGAGCAGCACGCACCCCATCCACATCCAGCACCATCCCCGCCGCCGCCGCCACACACATCGGTCGCCCCCAGCCTCCCTCCTCGCAATCTCTTCTTCTTCCCACCGCCATCCATCGATCTGCCATTCTCTCTCCAAGCAAGATGAGGAGGAGGTGACGTTCCGGCGGCGCTGGGCAACATGCCGCAGGGGCACCTGGGGCAGGACAATACGACCCCGCTGGACGCCGCGCCTACGCACGCCCGTGCTCGCGCGCTACACACCCACGTCCTTCTCTGCTCCTAGTCCTCCCCAACGTCGGCCGCTGCGTTCCCGAAGCCGCGCCGACACACTGCCCACGTCGCTTGCCGTCCCGTCACCAGCCGCTCGGGCTGAACCGAGTCAGTGAAAAAACGAGCCGAGCCACCGATATGCAGCTCGTTGGTTTCACGAGCCGAGCCGAGCCGAGCCGCTCCAGAGCGAGCTAAAGCATGGCTCGGACCTAACTCGGCTCGGCTCGGCTCGTGTCCAGCCCTATCTGTAACGCACTGACTTCTTATGCGTGAAGCCTATCTGTACATTGGTAAGCTAATCAAACAATTGTTTCAATCCTCCAATTAAAATACCAGTAAAGAACTTGATTTCAAAATACACTTCATCAATTATACATCTATAACCAATCTTTACAGCACAAAGGTGACTTTTGTATGTTTTCAGGACCAGGGAAATCCTGGATAGTAAAATAGCGTGCGAATAGAACCGGGGCAGCGTGTTTCGGAGGAACTTCCCATGTGGTTCCATAACATGATCAATGAGGTTCCACCAAACAGATACTGGAAAAGGGAAACTACTCGTTCATACGTCTACAGCCTACACAACACAAACACAGGGGTGCATCTTCTCCAAAGCAATTTTAATTTTGAGTGAGCTTAGCAAAGAGAATGTGACCTCGGGAAGGCGCTCATCGATTTGAGGTTGTTGTTGAGCTTGAGCAGGTGGTCGGAGACGACATCTAAGAGCGAAGCGATGGACATGCGCTCAGGGAGCCTCGCCGCCCCGGCCGCCGTGCTAGCAATGGTCTCTGTCGCCGGCACGTCGATCGCCACGAGACCTGCACAGACGAATTTTAATAACTCAGCTTCACTCCAAGCAGCGCTGGTACTACAGGCAGGACGCGTGCTGCGTAGTGTGTTGTACTGAACGTCTCTAAACCAACCAGCAGAGATAAGATAAGGCATGGTAAGAGACACACAAACAAACCTGTCTGGCTGGGTGCGGCCACGAAACAAACACATGGCGCGCGCCGCCTGGGCACCGGGCGCGCGGCCCAGCGGCGGCAGCGGCAGGCGGCCAGCAGGCCCAAATCCACGACATTCCGGCTCATGTGCATCCTCGGGGATCTCACAGACAGCATCTCCAGGAGCACCAATCCAAGAACCTAGGCAGCAACGACGCAGGCCAGCTCACGAGCTCGGAGCCCCCAAGAACCACGGACGGCGAAACCTCTGGAGCTCAACAGCCTCTCTTCTCCTCGCACGACAGCCGCGGGAGAAGGAGTGATGCTGGCTGGCTGGCTGGCGATTGGTTGCGTGCGGGAAAGAGAGAATCTTGCCCAATTTGGTGACGATGCCTCTCTCGCCCTTGCGTGGAGAAGAAAAGGGAAGGAGAGACGGGGAGGTGTTGGATGGCTGCTGGCGGCTGGTGCTGCTGCTCCGGTCCGGTGGGGGAGTGGTGGAGGGAGGGGGGCCGGCGACCTGGCGTGGCGCCCATCTCCCTGACGCGGTTGACCCGCAGCGCCCACGCCTCGGGTAGGTGCCAGCGATGGCGTGGCGGCGGTGGACGGGGAGGATGGCCTGCAAGGAGTGACAGCTAGGGCTCTCGACGGCCACGGGAGGAGAGGAGGCAGCGTGGCGGCGAGAGGGGCGGGAGGAAGACAGAGGGGAGTCGGGGTGAGCGAGCGAGGGAGGACGCGGTTGCAGGAGCGAGCGAGGGAGGAGGCGGCTGCAGGAGCGAGCGAGGGAGGAGGCGGCTAGGTCTCCGTCAAAGGAGCGGCCCCCTTTTATACCCCCCCACCACATGAAATGACCGAAATGCCCTGGTGGGGGCATGGTATTTACATTCTGTTGCCATTGAAATTTTATCCGACGGCTCACAGCGATTTGGTAAATATCCGACGCCTCACGTGAGCCGAGCCTGAGATCCGACGGCCCGAATCGCATCAGGAAACCGATCCGACGGCTGAAAATCCAAAGCGCTGAGGAGGCTCCATTTTGTCTCAGACTCTAAGAAGGGGATACACGGCTTATCTCTAAGTAAGCCGTGTGGCCGTAAAAAAGGTACTCGGCTTAGAGCCATTCACCGGCAAAACCTGCTACCACGTGTACGCCGTTGGTGCACTTAATGGCTAGATTGACGACCGTTGGTGTAAGCGGAGTATGCTCCCTTGAACACTTGGCTTATATTTTCGATCTCCTTTAAAAAAATAAGAAACTCTTGGCCTCTCCTGTAAGCCGAGTGGAGTTGGAAGGACACTCGGCTTGCGTCAGTTTTATAAACAGCGTGGCTAGCCCTTTGAGCTTCAAATCACACTGCCGTCGCAGGCGCTCTCATCTCTCCACTTCGCTGTTTGACCAACTCATATGAATTGAATCAACGATATATTATTTATGGGGGAAGTGAATATGAACACTTACATATAGAACACACAAGCAGAAAACTAATAAGATAATTATTAATTCGAGGGAAATGAGAACATTGCATGAATTATAGGTATATAAACTAGTAGGTGAGGGTATTACATTTGTCCACAAAACGATAAATAATTATGAAACCATAAGATAATTTATTACATAGATAATAAATGTTCCATCTTGAGAAATCTTGTTTTGTCACAATGCCTTATGCTCTAAGATTTCTCCAATATTTTATCTTGTTGATTGATTACTGTTTTGGCCCACAAATCCTTTTGGCAACACGCTCGTCACCACTGCAATCTGGTAGGCCAACATTTGTAGGAAATGGTTTCTTCGAGTTGAATGTTTTCTTGCGTCGCAGAGCATGCACCAACGCCTTTTCGAAGAGTTCTTGTTCATCGGTGTGACCCGGTGATGTCATGGGGGAGGCGAATGCGAGACGAGGCTGGGACAGTAACCACTGTAGACGTTCCATCGTTGCTTCTCTTGCGGTGGAACCTCTGGCAACTGTATATCGTGGTCCCATTGCATGGAACCATCGACCTCCTTCTTGTTGTTGGTGGTGTCATATTGGTAGAGATGGTCATGTAGCCTGTAACACAACATCCTGTCACCTCATCAAACCAGGCGCCCCTTGATTTGTCTTGCCTGCCGTCATCGTCGACACTCATGTCGAAGGTGTAGCGCAGTTCCCAGTTGCCAAACAGACTCATTCCATGTCGAAGGTGTCTCGTTGTCCACATCGATCACTATTATCTTACCTGACGCCTGGCGATACTCTGCCGGTACAGCTAAGACGTACAAATTGCCATCGATGAGCACAGGTGGCGGGAATTCACAGTTGTAACTCAGCTTCCTCCCGGTGGTAGAAGGGGAAGCGAAACAGCTTGTACTTGTGGGTGGACGTGCTAAACCCCATGGTGTATATGCGTGACCATACGTCCTTGACCTCTGATGGCGGCGCGATCTTGATCTTCTCTCCGGTGACAGGGTTGCACACGTAGAGAGGCCAGTCCGCTACGTTGGCTGCGAAGCATAGGAAGCCGTTGCAGGCGTTGGTGGGGCCGTACCCTCCGGCGAGGTCGGTGATGCGGCACATTGTCTTTTTCGATGCGAAGTTGAGGACCACCGCCTCTAGGCATATGCGCATCCCGCGAATCTCGGTGACGGCTAGTGTCTCCGGTTGGCCGGAGACGACGTGGGTGGCGCTGGCATGGAGCCTGCAGAAGGAGGGCTCGCCGACGACGGTGCGCCACTGCTGGGAGACACACGAGGTCCGGGCGAGGTCCCTGGTCGGCAGCTTCACAAGGATCTCACGCAAAAGCTCCTCCCCCGTAGATTCCATTGTCGAATCTATGGTATGTGAACGAGCCGACTGGCGATCGCTATGTTGGCGTGGAATCCGATCTAATAGGAGGCTAGCGCTAAAGTGATCTCCCAAAGCTGTGACCAATCGAAACTTCAAGATTAGAACGTGGGTAAGCCTTATCTTCATAATTTCCATGTGATTTGCTTACGTTGGTTCACAATAAAAGGGGTGTGCCACAGAGCGGTGGCAAGGAGAGGCGCGCCAAGGTCTGGTAGAAATGAGTACGAGTTGAAATCTACTCCCTCCCTGTGTTGGAGTTACTCATGAAAGTATTAATAATGTGTACTAATAAAGCACGGAGTGCTTCTGGTCGTACGTCGTGGCAATTTTACAGAAAGGCCCCTCCGTTTACAGGAAATCAACCCGCGCTCCCTGTTTAAGTGGCAACCAGAGAAAACGTTTCGGTTTTTCAAAAAGGACCCTCCATTTTGGTGTATTCAACCCGCAATCCTGGCTCTGAGAAAACATTGCAAAAAAGACTCGTGCATAACGAGCGACTGGGGGCGGCGGCTGCTCGATGCGGAACGACGCAGGCGTCTGGGGGCGGCGGCTGCTCGATGCGGATCGACGCCGGAGGCTGGAGCTTGCAGGGGCCGGATCCGTGTGCGGCAGAGGCTGGGGAGGCCGATTCGGAGGCGGGCAGCGAGGCAAGGGTCGCCGGTGATGATGAGGGAGGCCGATTCGGAGGCGGGCGGCGAGGCAGAGGTCGCCGGTGATGAGAGGGAGGCCGGAGCGTGGTTTCCCTGGCAGATCTATGGCATCCGCGGCTCCTGGGCAGAAAGAAGAATGGAGATGAGGGAGAGAAGAAGGAAGAAAGGAGGGGAGGTGCGGTGTCCTAGGCAGGAGCTCGCCGGAGCCGAGCCACGGAGGACGTGCGCTGCAGACGGAGGGATTCAAAGCCGGCCGGTCGGGCGACACCAACAAGGCCAGGGGTGGCGTACGAATGAGGACTTCATCACCATCAGGTAATCCATTCATCTCCTCTCTTTTCCTAATTCCCGACGATCTGGTCCTCAATCGCCATGTTCTTGAACTGCAGAAATCACTCATTCCCCATGTACTTGAGTTGCAGAAACCATTGGTTAACAAAGTGTTCTGATACATCGCTGTCAAATTGCATGGGCCTATCAAATTTTGTAATATATAGATGATGTTATCCTGTCAAATTCCATCCATGTACATATTCATGTGCAAAGTAAAGAAATTAAGATGTTGCAGGTTGCAAACAAGCAAAACCATTACCTGTCATCTGCAGAATCAACCTACATATAAATAAGATTTCTCTTCCAACCATCTTTCAAAGATAAAATCGTACAGCGAATGGGTCAGTTTTAACTAATACAAGTACACACAACATTCAGCTCCACAATTGGTCAAGAACCTTGGTGTCGGGCTGACGGCCATGCCGCCTGTGGTTATCTTGGTGTCGCTGACTGTCAGGACGCCTATTTCTGCTTCCTTCTGGATGAACACGGGAGATGGACGTGTTAGTAGAATTTGATCTGAATTGATTGATCGGCTTGTTTTGATGGCTTTTTGCGACATGTTTGTTATGTTTTAGTATCTTTTTGAAACTAGAATTTGAAAAGAGCATGAGTTTTTATAGGATTTTATATATTCTTCGGTTGCTTACTGTAATCTTTTTGAAACTGAAATTTGAAAAGAGCATGAGTTTTGATAGGATTTTATATATTCTTCGGTTGCTTACTGTAACCTGTACCTTCTGGTCGGATATAGATAGAATCATACTGATTTCCTATAATTTCGCCGTCACAAAGATGTTCTATTTGTTTGGTTTGCTGTATTGTGATGACCGTCAGAAATTACCTATATATGCTATTCGTACTGTTAAATTTAGTTCTAGCGACCCCGAGGAAGTAATGTGTTGTACGCCTGACACGTGATTGAGAGTTAACTTGCTTGAAGATATGGTTCAGCTAAAACCTCTTTTCCAAATATCAACGGGCTGCTGTTTTTGGAAATTTTGATCAACACTCCGGAAAAATGTATGATGTACCTTTTTTACTTTGAGTATCAGTATGCAAACTCCAGAATTGGAGTATTGGCATGAAAACTCCAGAAAGTTTATGTGGTCCTGATACACACATCATGAAGTTGGTAACTGTTGTGGTATTTATATTCAGATTTGACAGGAATAAAAACTGAACCTATTAAATAGTTATGTTAAGCTAGATGGTTTACTCATATTCCATCGCTAGATGAACTAGCCGCAAGAAGCACGGTTAAAATTCAGCTCCATTTGATTTACATTCAGATCATCTTGCTGCAACACCACTACTTTTCTTGATAGCAAACAACCAGTTTCAGTCATCATATATTGCTTTTCTGATT